CCCGCCCGGCGGGAGGGAGGGAGGGAGGTGCCGGAGCCTCCCCGGCGGCGTGGCCGTGGGCGGCGCTCGGCCCTCGGGGCCGGCCCGGCTGCGGGGAGCCCCTGGTTCGGGCAGGAACGACCTCGACTGACCGGTTTCACAGAGCAACGGTTTATTAAAAGACCCAGCCCGGCGAAGGGTGTCCGCAACTGTTTCCAAAACAACGGGAGGAGAAGGCGGCTCTCCGGCAGGGGACAGGGCCTTATCCTCCCTGCCCGAACCAGCCGCGTCCGCAGGGTCGCAGGCCGTCCCGGCCCAGTGGATCCCGTCACGCCGGATCCCGTCACGCCGGGCACGACTGTTGTTGACAGGAACAGGCCGTATGGGCAGAAACTGTGCTCACGACGTCCTCGGACTTCTGGTCGAGCCTCGTCTGCCCTTCCAGGCTGAGAGTGGAGGCTGTCAATGAGAAACGAGGAAGAAGAGGTCGCGTGAGGGGGGTTTTGTACATCGGGGTGCTCCTGCGTTAGCAGGGACAACCTCCCGCTTTGTCACAGAATGGCAGTCGGACACACGGTTCCCGTTCTGCGGGCTCACCCGCTGGTACGCAGTGGAAGCCCACGGAGACGGGAACAGTCCTGGTTGCTGAACAGCCTTCTACGCAGCGTAGGACTGGCTCCATGGAGAAGCATTTTGCTGCCTTCTTCTCAAACGCAACCGGCTTCTCAATTTGGACAAATTTGCGCTGCAGCTTGCAAGCTGTAAGACACGAATTCTCTTAAAGCACCTACAGAATTTATATAAATAACTTTTTGGACTTAATTTGTGGAATTAGCAACAACTAAGACCAGTGGATGAACCAAGAGACGCAAGCTACGTGAAACTAATCTGATTAAGTGAGTTGATTTTCTGTCAATGGCTTAGGCTGTGAGAAAATCGGGTATATGGGGCGCAGTCCCAAGGACAGAGGCTTGCCAAATAGGATCTAGGTAGGAGACCGGTGTACAAATCAGAAAAGATACATGTGAAAACCTTGGTCAACTGACACTCAACTTTACCCCAACTATGACCGCACTTCATTTAGGGGCAGTAGTGGCTCCTAGACATCCGTGTATGCATTTCTGCACTGTGCCTAGCATTACACCTGCCTTGCCGTGGCTGAGTAGCTTAGTCCTCAAGCCTCTGTGATCCAGGCTCTCCTGGATCAGTCCCCCCAGGGGAGCTTGATCTAAATATATTTCAAAAATGCCACCACGTGCCCAGAGGGTTGGGTTCCACACAAAATGCTGTGCACCCTAATGTTATCAATATGTTCATGTTGGTTTTATATAGGACCTGGATAGTAAGAGCAATCATTCCCGGGCTGAAGGTTTCAGATTAAGTTCATCTTCAGCCTGAGGAAATTAAACCAGGTATTTCCCACCTCAAATACCCTCTAGTTTGATAGCTAGGGCTAGATTTTAATTTTTTTTTTTTTTTTTCTTCCCTGGGAAACTAAAAGCCTGCAAATAACAGAACGGAAATAAAGAATGAAACTATTAAGGATGACATAAGATGTCTTTTGTCAACAGTCAAGCTACCTACTTTTCATACTAACTTATCATTTTAGGGAGTTTTATGTTTATAATTTTATCTGGAACACACGACCTTCCGGTAACTACATAGTGCATAAGAAGTTGATACAAAACCGCAACAAAACCAGAACTTCCAGTGAACTACCAAACGCAGGAAAAACAGATTTATTTTTTTTTTAGTCTATGGACACTAATCACAAAAATAATGAAAAATAAGATGATTGTGCTACAATTAATACAAATTATCTATTCATGTGACTAATTAATTAGTCAAAGGCAATGACATTAATATATATTAGAATCTTAGTACCTCCAGCACAGGGGTCTTCTGAAATGATCCAGGACTGACCAAAACTCACTGCATCTTTAGCTAAATATCCACTGGGCATTTGATATTCCCTTTCCTTCTCAGCATCGTATTTCCCACAAATACCACATGTTTTTCCAGCCATCCAGAAAGCAACCTGAATCTTTGTGGCAATAAAGAAATTGTGCTTAATAATAAATAAACTTAATAATAATAAATGTACAATAAATGTACAATAAATGTACCTAAATGTTTTTCTTCTAAAAATAAAACCACTGAAAATAATTTTAAAAAATACCTCAAGTCTATGCCCATCATAATATAGTTTATCTATGCCATAATCTGGGGCTTTTAGTGACAGACCTTCCTTTTCGCTGCTGATCAGCATGCTTGCATCTGCAACAAAAAAGCAAAAAGGGATTTCTTTTAAAAGGAAGCTATTGTTTTAGGGTCCAGCCTGAACCACTTGTTAAATTCCTGGGGACTTAATGCAGACCCTAATGTATCTTGAAAGAAATGGGGGAAATAAGAAAGACCGTTTTGCTCCCTGCCCTGGAACAAGCCAAAGCTGTGTGACAAGGGTGGCCGTGACCAGGGCACATCTAGATGCTTGTTCTGTGGGTCTCTGTGATCAGCACAAGGTACCACAGCGTTGCGTTATTGGGTTTGTGCAAAGATACACAGGATCAGCACCTCTTTCTTTGCTCATCTTTCTTGCCACCCCCTATGAAAGCTAGCATGAAGGTATGTTAAAATCACCTCATTGTTTCTCGAATTAGGGCAGTCTTAATATCTTGAGAGAGGTTTGCAGGATCATGTCCTCTCCTTCTTCAAAAGATGAGAAAAGATTAAACAAAATATAAAGATGAGTCTCTTACCAGAATTAGATGTGTATGGAACATCTGTTGGGGCTTGAACACCATTAATCTTCAACTGGATGAGTCCATTGGAAACACACATGTCAACCTCACTTTAAGTAAAGGAAATGAGTATAAACAAATGCTTGTCCTTTGCTCTACTCAGCTCACAATTTCTAGTCCTGGTAGAACCAACACTGCAGGATGCTCATATCATTCTGGCATGAATCACCTACTACCCTTTGGGCGGAAGATTGAGAAAGCCCAGGAAAGCATGCCAGGAGTGCTCACAATACACCTTTCCCTGGCTTTACTCATCTCGGAGTGTCTGCTTGTGGCCACGGTTCAGGCAGGAAGACACCAGGCTACAGGGACCCTTGCCGCGGAACAATATAATTGCTATTATGTTCGCATAAATTGAAGGTGCTTTACATTTCAAAGGAAGATTGGATTCCCTACGGTGGTTCTCTTACAGCCTGAATAGCCTGTGTATTGTAGTATTTTCTTCAGAGCAGTGTTTGCTCTAATGAAGAAATATGAAGCTCAAGCACATCAAAAGCACATCCATAGAGTTTTATGAAAAGATCAGGAATGTTACAGTGAGGAGGAATGTCTTTATCACAAAGACACAGTCTATAAAACAAGCATCCTTCTGTTCTTCCACAAAACAGGTGCAGAGAATACTAGTTTCTCTCCATTTCTCTAACATTATGGCACAGTTAGTTACACAATTTTCAGAAATAAATAATTACTTGTAATGAAACCTTACAGATCAAAGGCTATTTAGGAACTTTGAAGAATACTCCCTACAATGATTTTGGTATGCATAATCCCATACAATTTAGAGTATCAGACTATACTTTTAAAGAAGAACCTATGATGGCAGAGGCGATTGCTCCAAGATGAAACAAAGTGTGTCTTAAGTTAATTTCAAATAAATTAGAACATTATGCACCAAGGGATGACCTAAGAGAGTGCCTCTAATCTGGGATAAGTAAATCCCTTTTTAGTTATGTCCACTTCTCAACATCTCTGCTGAGCTGATTGTGGGTGCTAATTAGTTCTAATTATTAGCTTAGTGTAGGAGGCCAGACGAAATGATTACAATAGTCCCTTTTGGATTTATGGTTTATGTGTCTACCTAATTACTAAGAACCAAAATGAGATGGTTAAATGCTAACAAATTAATGAAGAATTTTGGGCAGTAAAGACTTTAGGTTACTGTGAACCTCAGATATATTTCAGAAGCACTTTTGAAAGACAAAGTCCCAAATCCCAGTGGCACTCCTAGAAGAAATCTTTCCATTGACATCAGTAATTTTTGCATGAGTCATATGCTAGCACCAATCTGCCCTAACAATCTGGTCTTCACATTTATAGCATATTCAGCTTGACATCTATTTGTCATTAAGTTTGCAATTACTTACTGGCTAGCAAGTCTGACATTTATTGCTGTAAGGTCAGCAGACTCCTCAAGTCTTTTCATCATCACCAGGAATTTCAGTTCTGGACTACAGTCCTGCACCAAGACATGGTAGCAATTTGCAGGCATTGAATAGTTAAATTCAACACTATTGAAGGTTGTGATTGTATTTTGGAAAACTGAACAACGAGCTGAAAAAAAAAAAATCAGTCAAAAGCAAGCCTTTTATATTTTGTATAAGACAGTTACTCTATTTTAGATTCGCAATTAAAAAAAACAAACCCAAAACCAAAACCATTTTCCAGTGTTACCTATTCCCACGTAAAAGCAAAATGATTCCTTCAGATGAAATATTGGATTTGTAGTAATACAAAAGCAAAACTTTGCCAGTCCCCAGGCAGCAGCACAACCCACTTATGATTCAATCGTTGTGTGAGATAAATTCTGCTCACAGCTGGTGCTGGTGCAACTCTCTGTTTGTGGCCTTTTGGCTTTTGTAACTTTGTTGTAGTCAAAAGAATTACTCAAATGTTGTTAACAGTTCACATATCATTAACACTAGAGGAAATTCACTAAAACACTGCTACCTTTATTGAGTCATAACCAGGATTAGAAGAAGTTAGAAGATGGTGAGGAAAAAGAGCCACACGGGAGTGAACTTTTCACTTTTTCACTGTAATGGTATTTTGCTGGAAATCCTATCAGCTCTGATTAGAAATTATTTTACAGCAGTTTTAATTAATATGGACTAGTTTTGGTGTTTACCAAAGAAATATGCATAGGTATGATATTAGCCCACTGATCTCAAGCAAAATGTGATTCCTTATCCCAGGATTACATAAAGCTTTTCCATTTAAAATTTACCCTAAGTGAGTATAATGTGATTAGCTCTTAATACAGCATTAATGAAACAATAATCCCCTCAAAATCAAGTGCAGGAGGTGAGATTAATGGATATACTTTTGAAGCTGTTTTAGCTTCTACATAACAGCGCTAATCAAGCAGAGCACCCCAAATTTGAGGTCATTTAGATGTCCCTCTCATAAATTTTGTAAAGCCTTTTTCTTCACAAGTAATCTCTGCAGTGAAGCTGAAATGGATGCATTTGGGAAAGGATGCATTTGGAATCACTATTTGGCATAGAACTGAATATTTAATCTTACTAATATAAGTTTCTTTTTCTTTACATCTTTGCAGCCTCACAGATTTTCATACAGAAAAATCATACAGATTTCAAGATGGGTTTATTTCTATCTGAAGTCCAACTGATTTTTTAAGTGAATGTAAAATAATTTCAAGTTATGTCAAAAGTATAAATCATATTTACAAAATCTGCAGAGTCAACCAGTGCTTGTGCTGATTGATAGTTAATTGCTGACCTTTAAGGTTTTCAATGACTGAAAGTGTTGCTTGGGAAAAGACATTCCGGTCAGAGGATGGTAGTTTTGAAATCGGTGTACCTCGACTTGAAGGGAATGGCAGGGGAAGCCTGATGGCTCTGTCATAAATTGTGAGCTGAAAATCAGTCAGAAAACAAACATGAATGTAAATGCAAAATACAGTGTAGAGATGATGTAGTGTTTCCCTATAATGTTCAAAGAGGACCGTACTGACTGAAATCTAAATTAGAATCTAGATTTAGGTCAGAGCTAAAAAGAAACCAAGTCCTCTGTCTAAAGCATGAAATAGCTCTACAGTTTGACACATCTGCAACCTATAGAATAGCAGGGCTATAAGTGAAGTTTTATATTCACCAATTTGCAGCTTATTTGGGAGTTGTACATCACATTTGCTCACAGTCCGAACAGTTCGTTTACCTGAGATGCACACCTTCTCCTTGCCTATATGTTGAGGGCTGCTATTTGGCCATCATGCTCATCTATGGCCTGGTTTTATTATCTTTTCCAAGGCACAGGAAAACCTGTCATCTTCCTGAAGATTTGGGGAGGAGTGGTCTTTTTAGTAAGTTATTGTTAGTGTGCTATAAATCGTGATGGTTGTTTTGTAACCTGTTTCTTATTTCATGTGTTTGCATGCTAAATGAGAAAGAGAACTGTGTTGTAAGGTATTTTCATAATGGAACTAACTGCGTGAGTATAATGTCCTTGTGATGGGAGCTTCTTTATAGTTTAATAAATTAAAAAAATAATAATCAGTGGGTTAAAAAAGCCATTAACTTTTGATTTCATAAGTACTGAATGCCCCAGGAGAAAAGATAGTGGAAATAGTTACCTCAGGTAGCTTGAGGACCACATCACAGGTTCTTGGAGATGTCAGAGCCATAACCAAGGTTGCCCAGTGAGAGGGACCACGCTGTTGCCTTTGGGAATACCCAAGCACATATGCAGCTCCTGGAAGAAATGAGTAGAACCTGGAAAAGGAAGTAAGTGATTAAAATGCTCTTTGAAAAAAATTGTTTATTATTCGTTCGACCTAAAATACCCCCATAAAGCAATATGCATTCTGTGTTAGACACGTTTTGTATCAGGGTTTGGTAATACATGATGTTGTGTATGGGAGGAAGGGCAGGCAGGTTTTAACTGTTAATCATTGAAATGGTCTTCAGGAGACTGGATGGCAGAGTGATATGAAAAGTATAGCCAACTTGTTTTAAACGTATTCAGAGTTAAAAATAGGCACAGATTACATAAAAACTAAAATACTAACATGCAAAAAAATAGAAGACCTCATATTAATGTGTCAGTCCTGTGGTGGTAGCTTTTAGCAAGGATCCTTCACCCACTGTCAACGAGTTGACCAAGGGATCTCTATGATTGGGTTCCCTTACAGGCTTGGGACTCAAACAGAGAAATACAGAAAATATTCCTTTTCAAAAAGGCGTAGTCTCAGAGCAGAAAAAAGCTGAGTTCTGTAGCTTTGCTCCAGGGTAGTCAATTGGATGGTTTCACTCCCTCTAATAAGGGCAGATAACAGCACTTCAGGTAATTCAACCTAATATGAAAAATTATCCTCTTCAGTGGACATTTGTTTACCAAATCACCTGTATGCCTTTAATGTGAAAGCTTGTGTTGCATGCATATTTAGATAACTGAGTTGTATGTGTCTGTATTTTGGTAGTACTATGAAAAAAGATTAGGCTTTGATATGGATATGTATGTTATTGTGGGCAAATGCATGTATGAATACAATGAATGAATGAATACAGTGGATACTATATGTATATGGATAGACACATATGTGAACTGAACCCAGCAGTTATAGTTTTCTTACACTGAGTGTCACACAACATTTGCTATTTAGTGTACAACAAGCCTTGTAGGAAGTATTTGTATCACCTTCTTCAGAAGCCGGAGGTAAGGTGCCTACATTAGGAAATTACTCTCCTGGTACAGTCAGTAAGAGACAGACTCCTTCAAAGAACCAAGGTTAGGCTTCTGCTCTGAGCCTCCATCAATTAGGAAGCATCAGGAGATCAAATTCCTAATTCGGGCACTTTAAATTAAAAGTCTGCAATAGATTACGTGAATCCCATCATCTCCTTTCTTTCAAGGAGCTGTTTTAGTTTTCCTGCAAACAAAAATGCGCTACGCTTTGAGGGAATGAATACACAGAAAAAACAGACACATGTAATCTGATTTTATAATATCATACTGATTAAGGGGAATTTTTAGAGCTCAGAAATTGCAGAACTGAACCTGTAATTATCTGGAGCATTGGCACAGGTGAATTTTTCAAAAACGAAAGTAAAATCTCACCATTTTGCAGTTGTTCGGACTATTGAAGGTACTTTTGGCCACTCCAGCTTCACCTGCATAGCTGGATAAGCAGCATATTGCCCTGTTGCAATCTGAGTAGCAATCTGGTAGTCCTGGCAATTTTCACCCCATTTAAGAGAACCCTAGTAGAGGGGAATATATATATATATTTATATAAAACATAGTAAGATCATTATATTTCATTTACATTTGAGCTGATCATTATTTTAAACTTACTGATACTTTATGGGAATTTATTGCTGAAGCATCAGCACAGAGTTTCCATCTACTCGATCCTGTGATGCTTGAAACAAATAACTGTATCCTCGATCTCATGGGTTGTGTATCAGTGTACAGTACAAGCTGTAATCCCGTCGGCTGCTTGTTTCTGTGGATGGCACGAAGGACTGCAGCCAGGATCGGTGGCTTGCTGTCTCCCAAGAATTTAGGCTTAAGTCAGTAGAGAGGAAATAGAGACCAAAGACATAAGCAAAGTATTAATATTACTATATTAAAACCACAGATAAAAAAATATTTGTAAAGGAAAAGTTTCATTCAGGAAGTCTTTTTATGTGAAGTACGGGACAGCATCATAGACCACCGCTCAATTTGTTCAATTCATACGTGGTTTTGCCACAGCCTTTCAAGGGAGAGCTGTTGCAACCTATGCAAGTAAAACAGTAGTGTTAGGAATCTTTTTGTAAGTAATTTCAGTGTAACAAAAGGAAGTATGGAGTAAGACCCTACTGTATAAAGAACCAATATTACCCAGCTCAGCTGGGTAGTTTAGCTAATAGTCTTTTTGATAAAATTCATTTAACCACCTGTTTAAAGCCGTGATAATTTGTGTTGACAGAGGGATCTGTTCAGTGCAGTCCAAAGTGGGGTACTTGCGCAAGGAGCAGCACGTGGCCCCGTTCAAAGTCGGAGCCTTGCGCCAGCAGCAGCAGCCGCTCGGGCGGTGACTGCCCTACCTGAGCTGTGGGACAGGAGTCCCCACCTGGCCAGGGGAGACCTGCAGGTGGGATGAGCTGTGGGGCAGCGGGTCCTCCCTGGGCTGCCAGGCGCGACTGACAGAGACCCACAGAAGGGTCAGGTGAGACAGAGCCGGCGAGGGCTTAGGGGGAAATGGGGAAAGAGCAAGGCTGTGGCTGAGCAAGAAGGTGTATGTGGCGAGAGCGTTGGGGAAGGCTGGGAAGAGTTCAGGGAAGTAGTAATGTGCTGAAAAGACAGACGAAAGAGGTGAATTCAAGTTACACCGAAACGGGTGGGGGAGAAGGTAGATCTGGCTGCCTTTTTTCTGCAAGCTACTTGCGCTAACAACTGGGACCGGGAGCTGCTGGTGCAGAGGGGGTGCCTCAGCAAAGTAAGGTTTACTATTTTGTAGGCATGTAGGTCATTGTCTGAAATGTGTGAAATTTTCCTTTGATGAAATCTGCTCGAGATTCCATCAGTTTTTACAATAGTTCTTACAGAAGGACCAGGTACCCTTAACTATTTACTATGCAGTCATTCCTCGATAAACACCTGGATTGCTCTCAAAGTTGGAGCATTACTGCAAAATCAAGGTCTTTTCAAAAGCCTTGCATGGTCTTGCTAACATGAACAGAAATACTTGGCAGTGAAGACCTAATGGACAAAAGAGTGGCAGAGTCAAGTCCTGAATGCAATAAAAAATATACCTGAAACCTGTTTCTGATCAAGCAGGTCAGCACTTCTAAAGTGTTCTCCTTTTTATAGTGAATTATTTACTGAGTAACAGAGATTTCAACATACTCAGCAATACATTCCAGTTTCATTTAAAAATATAGCCTGTATTGAGTGAATATTAAAAAACATTCAACTGCTATCCAGTGTGCGCACCTTTATAAAACAGGAAACAATTTGTTTTCTTTCTATATATTATGCAATATGCTAAATCACCATATTTTTTCCTATTCTGTATAAACATACAATAACTGGAAATCCAAAGTAGATGTTTTTATTTCTTGTAGATTAAGACACTCACCTGAGACGTGGCTCTAGAGATGCCTTCACCACTAACTGAAGAAGAGGAGGAGCTGATGCTGCAGTTCAGGACTTCCCTTCCTGGGTCCTGCAGAAACAGAGAATCACCTTGAAGCAAGTTGTTTAGCATTGGAAGTTGTTGCAGAATTAATTTCTCATATTTTTATTCTCAGAGAACTAAGCTCTAATTGCAGCAAAGTTAGTGAGAGCAGTTGTAGGCCCTGCTCATAGTATAAGCAGTAAATGTACCTGTTTATCTGCTGGCTTGAACCAAAACCGGTAAACAGGTAGATTTGCCTGTGAAAACAGATAGTATGTAAGAGGATCTAAGAGAAGACAAAGGCTTTTGACAAATGCATTAAAAAGTTCAGTATTGAGTATGGGAAAAAGGCAAAACAAAATTACATTTTTTAAACATTTTAAACTGAAATCTTCTGGAATGTGAAACTTCTGAGCTGAAATGCTTCAGAGAACCAGAGAGGTTAAAAAGGGGAAAAAGCTCTACTAGGTGATTACCTCAACAGGTGAGTCACCCTCAACAGTCTGTTTTCTCTTTCTTTGGTCCATGCTCTATAGGCACAATTTCCTGATGTACAAAAGTATTCACTACAAGATATAGAAAAAGTTCTAGCCTGGGTGAATTACCTGTTGCTTGGAATATTCAGTGTTCTCACTGCAGTGCCTATCTCCAGAGTGGTCTTTGCTGCTGCTGCAGATTTTGCTGCTAGTAGTGCTGACACTACTGCTGCTGCTTCTCCTGCCACTGCTGCTCCTGCTGCTGCTCTTGCTGCTGCTGCCACGCTTCTTCCCAGATTGCCTTATTTCATCTTTCTTGTATTCATTTCCAGGCTCTTTACCATCAGCAGAGGAAGCAGTGGAAGAAGAGGATGAGCTGGAGAGGGGACTTGCAATGGGTTTTGCCCAGAGGTCCATAACTGCAATCTTTTCTTTACTCTGAATCCGTTTCTTACGGCGCCGTGTTTTATTTGCAACCTCCAAAAACAGTTCAAAGTATTATGAATTTATAGCTTGTTCTGTAACATTCCTCTGGGTGTCAGACAAGCTGCTCACCACAGGCTTTCAAGGAAATACAACTTCCTGGCCCTGCACACTGCAGAAGCTACACCAAAACTCAGCTAGACCCATTCCTCCCAGCCAAAATCCTTGCTTTCTCATGCCAGTTTTCCACGCTGGAAACCCTTGGCTTCATTTATAGGAAAATATTTCCCTCTCCAATGCTCATAGGCTCTTACCTGGAACACATTTTCAATGCCTAGAATCTTCTTCAGTTTAGCTTGAATGTCCTCGTACAGAGATGTCTCATCCTCTTCCTTAGGCCCTGAGCTTGCTACATCAATTACTTTGGAAGCTGCTTTGGATCCTGCCTGAATCTCCAGCTGTATTTTGTCAATATCAGCATCTGTGTGAACTAAAGTCAAGATACTTACATTCCAGGGTTCTGCTGCTTGAGCAGCATTCACAGAGATTGACAGAAAAGCTTGTTGTCATGACTGTACCTGGCTTCAAAACTATTTTGGCTTCAAGTTCTCCAATTAATTTGTGCAGATAGGTATTTCTTAAGAAAGCAGAATTTTGTGACTTTAGGCTGAGACAAGCAGAACATCCCAAACTCTCAAATTTTCTACAGAAGTTGCGTGCATAAAATCTTCCTCCTATGCTGTGGTGATGTGCTTCTTCTGAACTTTGCTTGGATATCACACTAGGAATATTGCTTTGCTGCATTAAACAAAAATATGACAAACAAAGATATTTTCCACAAAAAAATTGTCACAGCTCCTAAAGTCTTTCCTCCTATTAATGAAGGGAATGATGGCAGTCCTGCCTAAGTAAGGAAGTGTTGCTTAAAATTAGAGATCCAAGCACTGGAAGCAGTGGGTCTTCCTCCAATGTGCTCTGTGGAAGAGGACAGGTCTCCTGCCCAGCCTTTCCCAGGCAGCCTTTCACAAGCATGCTTCCCAATGAGAACCTGCAGGGCTCTTTGGAGGGGCTACTTCTCTGAATCAGTTTTGGGCTACTTGCCCTCCTGTTGCAAGTCAACCTATCCTTCCCACTCCAGCCTCAGAAGCTGAAGAGCACGTAAGAGAATGGGCTTCTGCAATCCACTGCAGGGATTACCTCAGGATTTGGGAAGAAAAATGTATATCCTGCCGAAGAGCCATCTTTCCCACATTGCTCTGGCTTGGAAAAAAACGGGTATTGTACAAAGGCTATGAATTTCACACACCCTCCCCATGACTGTAAAGAAATAGGAAGACATGCTGTCAAAGCAAACTCTACCTGCATGAGATGATGAGAGTGAGCAGACTGTGAACGATCATGTCTTGAACCCATTGGGACTTACGTTAGGCTTGGTTTGGGATATGTCAGGCACCTGCTGAGTCTCACAGTTTCTGTGTTTGTGAGCTGGTTAGCCAGCTGCTGTGTTGGAGGCGCTCAGCCCCTCTGAGGAGCTGTCTGTTCTTTACCTGTGCAATACTGATGGTGAAAGGCCTCCTTACCTTCCAGCTGCCAGGTCTTGAAGAACTTTCTGATGGCTGAAATGGCTCATTAGAGATACTTGGTACTTCTCCTTTGGGGAGAAGCTGGGATTTCTTTTCGTAATCTATTTCTTCCATGTTCCTTGAAATAGCATAAACTTCACTCCTGTGGAGGTGATAAATGGCACAAAAGTAACATCTTCTAATTTTGCTTACCTGTCTTTGCTGGTACAAAAAAGACAATACTAAGCTTTATGTGGCTGCCAAGGTATGGCAGGGCCTAACAAGGAGCTGTATGTTCATGATTTTTTAACGGGGAGCTCACAATCAGTAACACATAACAAGCAAAATGCAACAAGCTTTTCTGTACCTCACAGCAGCAAGCTCAACCTCCTGATGGCAGGGAGGGGTTTCAATCTTCAAATTTTTCTCTTTCATATTTATCTTGGCATCAAATTTCATTGTAGTGTTGGCACTGAACTCTGCATGAAATTCAAGACCACTCTGGAAGTATTGTGTATTAATCCCCATCATTGCAATCATATGAAAATATGCCCTGAAGGAGTGGAAATAAAAACATGCATAATTACAGATTAATATGCACATATTTAACTTTGAAATGCAAAATTGCATTTTCACGCTGTTCTGTTTATTGTAAGAGCTATTACTGATGGATGAAGAAGTATCATAACAAGATCAAAAAAGGCTGAAGTGCCACTGGAAAAGATGAAGGGATTTATCTGATGAACAAAGCTAACATGGACCCTTTCACTGCTTTGTCACTGTTACATTGCTTGAGGACAAGCTAACCCCAGACTCTCCTAGCTTCAGGTTGTGCCTAGTTTATTATTATTATCACGATTATTATTATCATTATTATTACTATTATTGATATTAGTACTGTTGCTTTTGCATTTGGTTTTGCAGATCCAGAAGCATTTCCCTTTTCCCCCTGAATTTCCCCCAGCTTGTGCCAGGTGGTGATGTGATTCTATGTGGAACTTGTAAAAACCTGTTCATACGTAAGCAAATATATCTTCACAGCTTAGTATCTTTAGTCACTGAAGAGGTACAAATGTGAGCATTTTTAGCGATGGCAGAACAGTACAGCATCCTGTGGGATACAGTGCACATTGCTACATTTGCAGGGTTGTAAAGCATCAGCTGACTGTGTTGCTTTCTCACAACTTCACTGCTCTGGACTAGCACAGCCATCCCAAATTTGGGACAACTAAGACTCCTATATAACAACATGCGATCACATATCTATTTCAAATATAAATATAAAGGCTTATGTGTGTATGTGAAAAGATACACCATTTTTACTTTGGCTTGATGTCAGCATGAATATCCATCTTGGTTTCCAGCAACTGTGAAGGTCTAAAATTGTCAGATAAAGGTGGTGATATCTGTATATCCACTGCAAAAGACAGACAGGAATTATATGAACAGAGAAACAATTAATGCTGGAGATGATACAATGTTTTCAATAAACATAGTAGTTAACACATGGGCAGTGCTTTAACATTTTGAAATACTTTACGTGATTATTTAAAGATTGCTACTCCAAACCAGAGTTATACCAATATGTCCAAGGTGAAACATGCTAATTACTTCTCAAACCTTTTGGAGGTAGCTGAACACTAATGTTTCCATATTACAAGAATATTTTTCAAGATTATAGAGGGATTTAATTTCAGTGGAGGGATTGGACCCACAATTATTGTGGGGAAACTGCTCAGATTGGCATCCCAAGCTCACCGTCAGCCGCAGCCTGGGCCAGCGCAACACCGCACAGACTGAGTTCCAGTGGCACACCGACCACCGTGGGGACAATGTGCCGCAGCTCGCCCGCCATTGCCGGTAGGGTCCATCGGCCTGAAATACCTCGCTGGACCTCTTCCACCACTTTTTTCACCAGTGGCTGCCAGTTTGATGATCCAGTTAGACTCTGAAAACAGAGAGATAGGTTAGGTAAGTAGGTAAGAAGACACAGGGAAGGGAAATTACTCAGCATCACAGACAAAAAAGGCAACAGCCTTGTCAGTACCATCATGATCTGCTGAATGGCGTCTTTATCAATGTCAGCAGAGGCGATCTCTTGGCCCAATACTTTGACATAAGCGGACACCAGAGGGTCTTCGGGAGGCAGTTCTTTCCATCCCAGTAGCTGTGGTGTTAAGGAGAGATGGAGAGAAAGGGAAGAAGCAGATAATGTCACTTAAAATACACTAATGTATTAGCAAAGAGTAGATCCCATCTGAAGGATGCTAACTGTGGTTCCTTAGCCAAAAAACTAATAGACATCTTACAGGTCTGAACCAATGTGGCCTTTTTTATGTTGCATAACTGACTTCAGTGGGATTTTTCCCATGTAAGAATGAAGTAAGGACTTGGTAATTTCTGCTGCTGTAAGTAGTGGGTGACACCTGAGTACTGATGAACAAAAATCTTGTTCAGTAATCATTTTAAAAGAGAAGAGCAACCACTTACTGTGTTTTAACATACACTTTAAAACACATGAATTTTGGCTACCAGCATCATCATCTTTTGTACTGTACATTAAGGGCTGACACATGTTGAGTGAAAAGGTGGCATCTGTTGACAGCCTAAGTACAATGTAAGTTCATCTTTTCATGACCAAACAGGATGACTGACTCCTTTTGCACTGAAACATCAAAGGGATGGCTCGGTGGGTGGGTGGGTGATGCCATCCCAGCGCTGGCACTAACTGTGTATTGCAAACAGAAGGGTGTGTGGAGACATACCGTTTTACCGAGTTCCTTCAGTGTCCTGTATGTATCATACTCAGCAAAGGGAATATTCTGCTTCCTGATAAGCTTGGTTAGGCCTTGCGATTGGAGAGCCACCTGTAGGAAACAGAGTCAGGCGTCACAGCCCAAGGACAAGAGAGCCCGGGAAAACCTTTGTGCCTAGTATTACACTCACCAAGGCCAGTCTAAATACATACTTCATGAAGCCATTGAACTTATAAGGCTATGTCAACCTGGCAGATGACTGCAAGCTATGGTTGCAGATGCTGAGGACGTGCTGAGCCAGCTTTGAATCAGTCAGCAGGAATAATTTTAGGGCAGTGCAGAGCTCAGCCCAGGCTGCAAAGCTTGCCCGAGCAGCTGAGTGAATACCTGCATGCTGTTACACGGAGCTTCATGCTGCTCTGGCTGCACTGCTGGCTGAAATTTAATTTCAGATGCTATTTCCCTGTACTTATGCAAAATACCCTAGATGCCATGTGACTTTATGTGGGCAGATGAATGTTCTGCTGTGTAAGCTTTCCTCTGCTCTCCTAGATTTTCATGACTATACTGAATGTGTTCATTGATGAATGTATGTGTCAAGAAGCCCAAATAAAAGAAGAAGCCTAAGTAAAATCATAATTACTATCTAAATTTTCTCTTCCACATCCGCCCTCACAGCCAGAGATGGAGTTAAAGACTACATCACAGTCCAAATGGCTCAGCAAGTAATACTGTCTGTAGCTGGCTTGCATCTAGCTGGCTGTTTTAATGAAATACTTACCTCAATAATATCCGTTGCAGTATTTGCATAATATCCTCTTACTTTTGTGATTATATCGGATGGAAACATGGTGCTGGGACTGTTCATTAGATAGACCCTCCAAATGGCACCAGCCTGATATTCAACTATCACAGGAATAAAAAGCAGCAGAGATTTTGGTTAGGGTCTCTGAGGTGTCTCGTGTATGTAAGCCAATGCAGGGTACATGCTATAGTAGATCACAAGGGGTTCTGTCAGGATTCAGTCCCACAGGTCCTCAATTTTGCAACCTTAAGAGGAGAACTTTGTTCTAGGGCAGAGTCAACACAACCACAGTAACTGAAGAAGGAGGCCTAAATCCATGTGCAAGCATCACTTTCCCCAGCAGATACCCAGAGAGTAGCAGAACACCCTCAGGGGATTTTGCATGTTAGGAGGCTCTTGTGCTTTTTTTATTTCAAGAGCACACTAAACTCACAGCCTGTGATTGGATTTTGGATGAAAATCACAGAATACAACAGAAGAATTTGGCTACATAAGCTGAAGCAGTGAACAAGGCACCTGGTACTCACAGGAATAATCGCCGACATGGATGACCTTGCTGTAACGATAGCTCAGCCTGTCAAGTCTGGGGCTCAGTAGTTTGATGGCAATGTTGCAAGCAGCAGATCTGAGTAATAAAGAGTTAAAATCATATGAAGACAGTTGACTGTGACGAAAACCTTAGAAAACTGCCAGAATAAAATCACTATTTGCTACTAAAAAAATGTACTTCTTCCTCTACTTACAAATTATAGAGCTGTGGGATCCTGCCTACTGCCAAAGCCTTCATGTGTGAATATGTGAAACTGGCTACTTGTAAGCTGGGCTCTGTCAGCAGCGAGATGGCCATAGCTGTTACAGTTGGAAGACCAGGCTTCGTTTCGAAGAGGACAACACAAGCCACCATTCGGACGTTAGGAGCAAGTGTGTTGTCCATAAAGACCTGGAGGGCGATCTCCCTTACCTACAGGAGGAAGATACAATCTGTGAGTACCTTATAACTTCTCAGTGAGAAGTGGTTCCTAAACCATGCATGTATGATCTGCAGTGAATGGAGAACAAAACCCTAAACAGAGACTTGAGCATGGGACCTGTCACTGAAAATGAAGATATTGCTGCGTGCACAGTGAACAGGGCTGGGAGAAACAGCCATTAGTAATGGGCCCAGTGTTACAGCAACTAAAGCAACTTCTTTCCCAGGATATCAGCAAGGATGGCGTGATGTCAGGAATTTGCAGGATGGGCAAGAGGAAGACCAGTAACTGAGAAATCTGCCCAGAGTTGCTAACATTACCTGATGGCTTTATTATTCCTGAATCACTAAGTCAACCCAAATCATACCCTGTAACACATTTGTTTAAATAATAATTTCAGTTACCTTTACAGGGTCTTTTCTGGCAATTTTCCTCAAGGCCAACACGGCATTAGCATGAATTCTGTTTGGTAATGAAGCTGCAGCTGGGGAAAATGTTGGCAAAAACTTCAGGATGCGTTTGATACTGGCCGGCTCTCCTGCATTGCCAATGGCTTTCAGGGCCAAAGCCATGTCTTTGGCATCACTTTTGCTGGTGGCTTCAGTAGCAAGGTTGTGGAGTGGCTGAAAACAGAGCAGACTGCGTTAATCTTATCTTGCAATAATGCATAACAATATGCATTGCCATAGCAAGCAAAACAAATGCTGGTGCAAAGCCCAGAATAAAGCTGTTCAGATTTTTCTCCCAGGAAATATCTCACCATCAATATCGGGAAGCCAAACGTGGAACATAGGAGCAAACTTGGTTTTCTCCTTACCCACTGTTGTAATTGATTTTAAATTGTGCCTAAGCCTGAGTGTAGGAGATAATCCTGGGTAGATACCTGCACCAGAGAGTCTGTTGCAAGTTCAAGAGCAGCCCTGAGCTGATGCCGGGTTCAGTCGTTGTCCCCTGGGGCACCTCCACCAGCCCTGTCAGCCTGCAGCGCCCAGGGTCTGCGCAGCTGCGGGATTACGCTTGCATATTTTTCACTTCCTATAGCCATAGCAAGTTTACTTAAACAGTTTTGCTGTTCTGAGAAGACAAATTACCCTTCTGGTGGCTTGGCTTTGTTTCAGTCTTTTTTGGAAGATTAAACATGTCAGACACCAACAGGCCATCTCAGTGCTGTGGTCCTTCTGAGTAAGGAGCCAGAGCTGCACAGTCCGAGGACAATGTCCTGAGTATTTCTGACAGTGATACACAACTATGTAGCAGGGCCTCTTTGGAAGTTCTAACCTATGACATATCTAATCTAGAGCTTTGCTTATATTCACACTTTAGTGCCTTTTAAATACATTTTTTAAGTACACTCTACCTAATGTAAAATTAGAGAGAAGAATCATAATTATTTTGCTTTAATCTTAAATTTGTCATACCAAAACTCAGTTTCAGGTTGTTTACAGGATCCATTATCCCCATGAGCTTCTACCACTTACATTTGAAATTCTGAACTGTTAAGACCAGATTTGTCAAAGGCATCAGCTTGGTGTTTCATTCTGTCTTTGCAATTTTGCAGGCAATCGCAGCTGAGAGTGAGGCATGTAAACAGCGAGTTACATAATTGCCAGCATTGTGAGAGCTAAATTAGAGGCATTTTAAAAACTGCTTCACCCCTTATGAATAAGAAATGAGAGTCACCTACCTGAAGAAGTTCATTTGGACAAAGTGAAGTCTGAGCACAGTATTTATTTACCATGCTACCATATCCCAGGTAAACAATTATTCGATGCATCGGTGCTTTCTGGATTTGGGGACAGGTCAAAAAAGTCTGCAGAAGAAAGAAGTAGCAGTCTTTAATGTTTCTAGTAATTAGAGCTGGTATTTAGTGAAAATTACATTTGAGAAATAAATAGATAAAATTGCTTTGGATTTTTCATAAATATTTTCAGAAGTTAAATCAAATGCTAGTCATTCAGCTACAATAAAAGTAAATAGACTTGCTCCAGTTATACTGTAAGTACTTTAGACTTTGGTTAGATGATATTATTTTCTTGTGTTTGTCTATTTAAAAAAAAATATTTGGGCAAAAAGAAATCAATAGAAATTTTCTTAGTATTTGTGGGTTTTAGCATCAAATACCAAAGCCATTAAAAAATTTTGGCAACAAGAGTTTGGAAAAATTTTCTAAAGCATTTCCCATTTTTCTTAACATCTTGCATTTCACAAATTTAGAAGGAAATATGTTGCATCTTTCACTTACAATCCTGTGAATTCACCTTTAAAAAGGAGTGAGAGGGACATAGAAGGAAGGTGCACAAGAAGTTGGGAGGGGACACAGCTGGGACAGCCGACCCCGACTGACCAAAGGGGTATTCCAGACCACAGCACGTCATGCTCAGCATATACAGCTGGGGGAAGGAGGAGGAAGGGGGAGACGTTTGGAGTGATGGCGTTTGTCTGCCCAAGTAACTGTTACGCGTGATGGAGCCCTGCTCTCCTGGAGATGGCTGAACACCTGCCTGCCCATGGGAAGCGGTGAATGAATTCCCTGTTTTGCTTTGCTTGCATGTGAGGCTTTTGTTTTCCCTATTAAACTGACTTTATCTCAGCCCATGAGTTTTCTCACTATTACCCTTTTTATTCTCTCCCCCATCCCACAATGGGGAGTGAGCGAGCGGCTGTGTGGGGCTTAATTGCTGGCTGGGGTTAAACCACAACAGCCTCTGATCTGAAATCCTGTCTGAAGGCAGTGCAGTTACCTGTAAGGAAGGTCATTGGCAAACTGTATCCACAAAGACTCAATTTGATCAAGGGTCACTATACGAAAAAGCTGGACCATTTGTAAGAACTTGGTTGAAGCTTCTTTAGTGGCTCCCTCCTCGTTATTCTGAACTAATTGCTGCAGCGTTTCTGTTAACTATGGGAAAAAACAGGCAGTTGGAAGGATCCATGTCTAAAATAATTATGTGATGACCTGTTAACGTTATAAACAATGAAAGAGTATGAAAAGTAAGCCTCTAATACCTGTAAATCTGTATTTTTAATCCTTATTAGAGGAATTGGCATCTGGAGTAGCTCTCCTGAGAAATGATAACGAAGACTCCCCTGGTTTTGCAGCTGAGTTTTTGGTGCACTGATGGGAGTCCTTTTAATGTCGACCAAAGACAGTTCTTGTCTTCAAGGGAAAGAAGGAAATGCATCAGTAGCCTTTAACCACATTGTGTGCATGGAGGACACGTACAGCGGTTGGAGCAGAGTGCCCAGCAGGACCATTGCATTGACCACAAACAGATGGTGCACTTCTCTGTGCCTTGCTCAGGATTATCTGGAAATGTCATAGGACTGGCGAGAGCTTTCGTTAGAGTTGACCAAAGTCTCTGAGAGGTTGAACAAATGTTTCAGGTGTCCCAGCAAAACACCCAGACAGCAGGACACAGGACCTGTCTGGGCATCCTGAGGGATGTATGGTACCTTGGCCCTTTTCAGCCCACAGGCCAGATGCTTCTTGTTAACTCACAAATCAACAGTGAATATGTTTTAGGCATCTCCTCCTGGCTCTGATAATCACAGCTACTCTAAGGACCTGCATGGTGCCTACCTTGCCTCCATGACTGCTGCCCCGTCGGGTTCATTGAAAGGAGAGATCTGGTACACCTGCTCAGACATAGCAGATGTCATCAAGGCCCCGCTGTCATCATACTTCATCTTGTAAGTGAACATCACCGTGCCCTTAACATTTCTGACTTTCTGGAAGTGCAAAGACACCTACTCAGAAATATGAACAGGCAGTAGTTAATTAGCACAGACAAGTCAAACTCCCTACTAGCGTCAGTGAGATGCACAAGAGTTTGGCAGTGGCTTATGCCTGAGCATGGTGCTGCTCATACCAGGGGGCAGGTGGGGCAGGGGCGGATGTATGCCATTCCCATGTTCTTCACCGCTTTCTCCTGGCAGTCCATCAGGTCCTTGCTTTTGGAAATGATGGCACGGTTATTCTTGCTGTCATCCTGGATAACATATCTGGTTTGGCAGATGCCTTCAATCCCAGCCTGTGAGTATTGATTAAACACAGTGAACTTTCCACTTGAAACAGCAATAAATAGGTCAAAGAAAATTGCGTGGGAAGTGTATATACAGGCAAATTACTATATAACAGTAGAATGAGAATAAAAGTAAAATCAGAATGAAAAAAACAAACCTCCTGTAGTTCATACACATTTTGTGACTTTTTGATGGTTATCTGCATCATGTTCAGAATCCCTCTCACTAGGTTAGTGCACAGGATGGGACAGTCCTCAGGGGCGAATATACTTCCAACCCTTCCATCAGTGTATTCAAACTTAAAGGCTTGGCTGAAGCATGCAGCAAGGGTCTCTGTGAGCCTCGAAGATGCAGTGAAGGGGTCCGTGGGCCAGAAGCCATTGTATTCCTCCAGCTTTGGTGATTGAATCTGTGAACAAAATTAGGAAAACTTTCATCCTGTTCACCATCAGTTTGAAATAGTGCAACGACAGGGAAACTGGGCACTTCCATTCCACGGCCAGACACAAGCCACTTGTCCAACACCACAGGAAACCTTCTTCCTCCTTGGGCCTCTGTGCTGGGCCTAGGAAGTGTCCTTGAAAATGCAATTTCCATGAAGGATTTCTGCCAGAAAAATAGGATTGTGCAAGCAGCATTCAAAACTTCAGCAAGTCTGGTGAGGCTTGCTGGGTGAATGAAACACCAGTTGCCAGCAATCTGTATGGAAAGGATACTCACCCGTTATCCCCAGATGCCCAGTAAGATCTCCCTTCAGCCTGCAAGGCAGCCAAGCCATTGCTCAAGCTCCCTGCCTAAACACATGGGGACTATTTTGTCTGCTGCTCCAGGTCCAGCACGTCACAGCTGATAGGGAAGCAGAGATGACCACAGGACCTCACATGGGAGATGGCCCAGCGGGAGATGACATCTCTTTCTTTGGAAGTGACTGTCATCATTTTGAGCTTATCAAGCTGCAAAGCTTGCGCACAAGTCCTTGACTGCTACCTAGTGGGAAGTGAGTGCCTGCATGCACGTATGTATCTAGTTGCATACACAATGTGCACACCTCTCACCCTTGAACACAGAAGTACACGTTCCTGCATAGAGGGAAATGGTGTGGGTTTAGTGCTCTGTTTCATTTTAGGCATTTATAATCAATGATGCAAGGGTGGCTTGCCTCTTGCCACATTTTCTCAAATTAAATCCTACTCAAGACTATTGTCTGCAATTGCTAAAGTTATAGCAACTCTAGCGAGGTTACACAAAGCCTGCAATTGCAGCAGTGTGTAAGGTTTGGTAGTAGGTATTCCTCCACGCTGTTTCAATAATATATGCAGAGGATTACGGACTGAGCAAACTCCTAGGATAAACACTAAGTGCCCTCTTACAGCTTTCTCCCCACGTGGTGTCTTCTAGATCCCTTTTCTGTGGTCTTTCATTCCATGCCAGTATTTTAAGCTGTTTTGTTTAATCTTTTCAATGAGTAACAGCGCTTCCAGATCTGATATCATTATGCCAAGCACAAGTATTACCATTAGAATTCTTCACATTTGAATTAATACCTATGTGAAGAATATCAAAAGGAAGATAATGGAGACAGATGGGACTTTCTCATGTGATATCTGAATTCCAGCACCAAGCTTTTCTGAGGCTATAGACCAGGTTGAAAAACATGGATATTTCATGCTTGAATTCTCATTTTCATATTTAAGCTTAGTGTTACCTTAGTTAGTAAGTTAGTAGTACTAGTTAGTTAGTAGTAAGATAGTTAGTAAAACTATCTTAAGGACAATTCTTTAAAGCAGCTGCCTGCCATATTTCCACATGGAGATGAACCTAAGGCAGCTTTAGTCGAGGGGGCTCAGGTACTGATGGCAGCAGAGCTGGAGAAGCTCTGGCTCCCTCCCGCAGAGATGCGGGCTGCGAGGAAGCCTGTGGCACTGCCTGTAGGTCACTACCAGTAACCCAAAGCAGTTTGGCTACAGCTGCAGACACTCCAGCGGTGCCCTCGGCTCTCCCCCAGCACGGCTCAGGGGTATGAGGTGCAAAGCTCAGTGCCCGTGTCCACAGCAGGGAAATCGTCACTGCCCGTCGGGATTTACCTGGAGAAGGTGGTCGCTGTGAGACACATAGGTGATCTCCAGCTTGCAGGTCAGCCTCACCCCTGCCATCGCCAGGCCTCTGCTGGGCAGCCCGTGAAGGATGAAGCTCTCGTAGCCATACAGGTAGGTCTTGCCGGTATGAAAAACAGGCTCTACAGAAAGAAAAATATAACAGAAACACCTCCTTCGCTATGTCTGTTGCAATGTTACTCGCAGGAACCACCCCAGCAAAGAAGGGTGAGGCTGCTACTGCCACAAAATAGGTGCAAGCGGCGGGCAGGGCACGGCCGTAGGGGAGGGCAGCGTGGGAGCTGCGTGCTGGCAGTGGAAGCACACTTACCGAGGTCCTGCTTCTGGCCCCCTGTGTGGGAGGAAAGAGAAGGATGCGTGAGAAACCCCCCATCTCTATGGATCCTTTCACTTATCAGTCATTTACTCATTGTGCTAATGGTTGGCAAACAACCAGTAATGGGCTCCCAGGGTACACCCCACACCGCGGGGACACCAAGCCCACGCCAGCCCCGCTTGCTAGCTACTGCTTGCTCGCCTTTTCCCCTGCCACTAAGCTTAGGCATAGAAATCTAATAGTTTACGGCCGAAGTCATAAAAGGGCTTCAGCAAATTAAGCTGTAAATAACCCTGAAAGGCCCTGAGGAGATGCAGTTTGCTCAGGACCACAGTGGACATCACGGCTCGGCAGTGCTGGTGAAGCTTCAACTTACCCACGAGGGCGAGCACCAGGGCCAAGATGAGTCCCTTCATGCTAAAAGCAACTGAAGACTGGAGGGGAAAGTGTGCGGCTTTTATAGAAGAATTATTAACAGGCACAGTGAATTTTGTTGAGTTATCAACTTTTTATCAAGCACTCACATCCTTTGAGGGAGAGGGGGTGAGGGACAAGGCACCGTCTGTTATTGCTGAGCCAAAACCATCACAAGCACTTTTGTTCTCATTTCACCAACTGAATGCACTGAAAGTACCTTCTGAAACAAGTGCTTAAAAGTATTAAAATAGAGTTAAAGCCAAAATATTTATTGTATAAGAAAAACTACTAATTATCCTAATTCGCTGGAAGCACCCAATGCTATTGCAGTCTGTGCTGACTTTGCCCAGGTTATCCTGACCTGACCATAAGGCACACAGCTTATCTAACTGATAGTGCCCCAGCAGGATTGTGCAAAATCCCCGGGCAGCCCTCCTGTGACACCATGCCGATACCCACCCTGCTGCAAGCGGGACAGGCTGTCACCCACAGTGCTGCGCTCTGGGGACGGGGACTTCACCCAGTAACACAAACCTCCCGTCATCGTCACAAAGGCCACGGCTGAACGCCGCTGACGTTCATGCTTCTCTCGCCTGCCTTCTCTTACAGGGCTAACACGTCAGCCCCTTTCGCTGGTGCCATTAGCCGTAGAGGACTGCTGGTGAGGGTTGCCCCGCGAGGTGGAACAGGCGAGGCTGACGGGTGTTACAGGCACAAACCTCTTGGTTTACAAAGGCATACGAAGCGTGGTTCACCCAAACGCCTTTCACATACGCAACAAGGGGCGGCATCTTCACCCCACGGTGGAGCCCCCTTCTCCCCGCGGAAGTTTTCCCTGTCCCTTTGGAGGCAGCCCCACAGGTCCCCCGGGCTGCTCCTGGCTCCAGGGTTTGGCCTGGGCCCTGGGTCCCCCGGTGCCCCTCAGCTGGGGCACGGAGCTGGGCTCAGCCGGAGCAGACGGAGCCACCCACACCGCTCCCGTCAGGAACCTGCACGAGGAGGGTTCCGGCAGCCCTGGCGCCGAGGGGTTCACGTTGGTGCCACGCAACCACCGTTTGCTCACCCACCTTCTCCTCCGTGGGTGGGGAACCGAAGCTGCTGCCCAGCTGACGGCGGGAAGGGACTGGATTCCGTCTCTCATCAACACATCTGTGGCTCCTACCCAAGACAGCTTGGTTTGCATAATGCTCTTCAGCTGATTTTTTTTATAATTGTCAGTTGGGATATAATTTATAATGTCTGACAAACTGTGGATTTTGTTCCTAGATCAAAGATTGCATCCATAGGGTATAAAAAATACAGTTTCGAAGCATGGCAAATACTTTGCCGTGTTTTTACTGGCACTATATTCTGGTCCCATAACCCCTTCCCTTGTAAAACTGATGGCACGTGATAGAAAAGCCAAGCCATTCACTACTGGCTTGTGTCATGTCTTTGGAGATTTGGTAAATGGTAAATGTAGCTGAAGGATTTGAGTATACAGCTACTGGTGACTGGTAATTGAGGCTCAAAAGCTAATATATTATGGCATAACTATATGCAGCTGCACAGGGGTTTTTTTAAAAAAAAAACACCTTGCGGACAGCGAGGACTTGAGATCAGCGCTAGTGCAGGCAGAAGAGCGCTGCTGTGATGGCAGATTAAATGCAACAACACTTGTATTCAGTGTCTCAAACTTATAACTCAATATCCCTAAAACACCACACTATAACAGTGACACCACGAACCATAACACTCCTCGAAATAAGGGTCCTCCCTGGGGGCTGTACGGGCTGTGCCCAGCTGCGAGGGCGGTCTCCCCAAAACCCCCAGCCCAGGGGTTGCAGAGTTTCGCCCCCACCCCACCCTCCGCTTTGGGCAGCAAACGCTACATCCCCGGTCACCCCGGCCGTGCTGCTGCCGCGGGGCAGGATCATCTATGCTTTCTGCAAAACCTGTTTGTTGGGGAGGGCTTCGCCTTTGGGGGTTTCTTTATAGAACCAAACCCTCATATTTTCTAGATCATTTCTCCAGTATGTCAAGAACGATTTCAAATCCCAGCCTGTCCCCGCAAACTCTCACAGCTCTTTCACGCTTCATATTTCTCCAAAGGATGTAACTTCAATTAAAAAGAGAAAGGAGAAAAAAAAAAAAAATCCTAAGAAAATGGCGAGGGTGACAACCAACGTTGCTGTGCCCAGGACCTGCCCTGGACAGCGTTTCCTTCCAGCTGTGCTCGGCTCCCTCCACAGCGGCAGGGGAGAGGGGCAGCGGCTGGCTGAGGCCTCCCCGCAGCCCTTTGCGAGGTGGTCACCCACAGCCCACGTCCCCCCGCAGTCCCACGGGTGCTCCGGCTGCCGCGGTAGTGCTCACCCGCAGGTCTCCTGCCGGGGCGTTACTGCTGAGCTTATCGCACCCCTCCCACCTGAGCACGGGGGTTGGAAGACGAGAGTCCCCCCAAAACCGTGTTCCCGCCTCGGCAGGCTGGGCAGAGAGGAGCCCCGTGGGCTGGCCCCACCGGAGCTGGGAGCTCATGCCAGAGCCCCCCGTGGAGCCCAGCTCTGGGGGTCATGCCAAGCCCCAGCTCCAGCCTCAGGGGTTCCCCAGGAAGGCTGCGCTTCCCATCACTGCTCCGTGTGGCTTCAGGCAAGCAGAAAACCCACCAGCTCCCTGCTTTGCTGCTGCTGCCTGGTAGTGCCCAAACACTGCCTGCTGTCAGCTCCCCACCACTTTGCAGCGCAAGGTACCATGACAGCATTTAAACTCTATATAACTGTATATTCACGCCTGTCTTTCAAACATATTTCCTTTGGTACTAAGGACATTACCTTTCCAAACTATGGAACTTACACACGAACAATAAAACACCTCACATACGTGCATCCATGGAAGGTACCAAAGCTGCTGGGGAAAGCAAAACAACACAATTTTTACAGAATGTTCTCAAGTGTTTCCAAAAACTAGCTAGTGATTACCTTTCCACCCCGCATGGTCATAGGTAAGTGCCATTTTTCTTCATTGTTTTCTACTGATTTTAAGAACCAAATAACTTGCTTCTCTTTTAATTAATTTACTGAAGATCTACATTTTTAACAATTCAGTAGGATCACATTCTGCTTTGCATTAAGAAACTTCAATATAAAAAATGAATGTGTGTTCAGTCAGTAATAAAAATGGCTGGACGTGTATGTGTGTTAATTGGGAGAATGCTGATGAATTAAGGCAGAAAAACTTAAGAAAGTACAATAGCATTTCTACTGAAATTTGTGCAAAACTCCTGATGGCTTAAGCTGCCAACAATCTCCTTGATATCGATGGTTATGTCTACACCATCTCCTTAGGCTATTCTCTGAGAAACAAATTCACCCAGCATGCATACTCAGCCTGCAAGCACGGCCTTAGGGGTAAGCAGAAAACATCTTCCGGATGCACTGGAATCCTTTGGGCTCCAGAGCTCACAGCAGACGAGCACGTCCCTCACCGTGCCCACGCAGACCCGCAGCACTTGGCAGGAGGCAGAGCCCACCTGCTGATGGTGGCGACAGCGAGGGCTCACGCTGGGCACAGAGGCTGGGGCATCTCACCCTCAGTGCAAAGGTCTGGCTCTGCTTCGGACCCTGTGGCAGGCAGTATACTTGGCTAACTCCACCGCGTCCTGTTCAAAGACCCCGATTCGCACTAGCTTCTGCATGTGGTGCACCAGGAACATAACGTGTTCTTGACTCCCTCAGAGCAGCCTTGTCCAGTGGCATGAAATTCAGGCTTATTCCCTGATCTTGCTGTTCCCTATGGCAGCACTGGCATGTCGCGTAGTTATTGCAGAGCACCACGGCTGCTTTGCTGCTGCAGAGGGTGCTGCATCACACAGAGGTGAGTGGTTCCTGCTCCGGGTGCACACGATCCCAGCACCAGGGAAGAAAGCACCAGGGGAAACAAGCAGGAGCCTGGTACCACAGCTACCCAACCCATATCCCTGATGGGGCCTGACACGGACACGTGTCTGGTGCACAGAAGATGGTCACAGACTCAAGAAGTCTACGAAATGGGGGGTGAGGAGAAGCAACAGAGACCGCTTCTTTCCATAACCAGTGAAATTAGGAAGCCTTCATAATTTTTTCCATGCGTGGATTTATTACAAAATCAGATATTTAAGGGCAATCGTACCAGTTTCTACAATAATAAAGTTTAATACTTTAAATTACTTGGGAAGATTCCACACATCCTTAAACACTTCATTTAGTATCTCTATTATTCCTTAAGATAAGTTTTCTTACACTACAACATAAAAATATTAAAGTGTTTCTGTTTTCTCCTGTGCTGCAATGTACAGCTTCATGCACTGCAGTCTTCGTTCTCACAAGAACATGCTATGTGTGCATCAACAGTGTCCTGTATATCCTCTGACTTCTGGTCGAACTTAGTCTGTTTGTCCGTCAGGCTGGTAGCCGAATCTGATGGGGAATAAGAAATGAAAAGTAAACAGTATACTTCTGAAGCAGTTCTGCAAGGTACAGCACTTACCATGCACCAGTCATTAATTACAGTGGGCTTGGCTTCTCCTCACTGGCTTACATATTTATGTTTGTCTAAGTCACGCAGAGATGTTCCAGGAATTTAATTAATTAGCCAGTTCTACCTACTTCCATGTAGAATTTTATTAATAACACATTTAGGAAAGCATATTATAGTCTTAAAGGAAAAACAAACTTGGAAAACAGACATGAACCTATCATCTATATAATCTATATCTACCTTTTATGATCTCTTATTATCTACAATATACCTATAAAAAATATATCCTCCTATATCACTGCACCTGTGTGCAGGAATCTCATCCACACCTGCCCTTCTACTGCCTAAATCAGCTTGGTGAAATTGGATCACACCCAAAGGCAGCTATATATAAAAAATACAAGGCAAGGATCTCTGCTGCACATGATCAGATGTGGCTGAGTCCTCACAGGCTGCAATACACAGTTTTTCAGTTGAATCACAATGTTGACTGTGCTGTTACTCTGCC